GACCTTCAAAAATTTATGTGTCTAAACTTTTGTTAGTGCTGTTTCTTTGCTATTCTTTTACCTTTCTTTGGTCAGAGCGATGTAGTGGGAGCTGCAAGCTTCACGTGCTCAACTTTGGCAGAGAACTTTGGCAAAGTTATTTTGTGGTACCCATGAGCTATTGTTGCGTGTGGGAAGTGGGTGATTGAACAGTAAGATTCATGTGCTTTCTACTTCAACAGAAGTCTTCGACAGAATGCCCATAATTTCTGCAAAGCTGAGTGTGCGTGTGTGACAGGTGTTGACAAGGCTAGAAAAGTAGGTGCCTCTTCGATTTCTGAGATCGGCCCTTGTGGTCTCTGAGCAGCCCAGCTTTTGAGAAAGCGAGCGCCTCTTCGATTGATTCGGAGAACGATGCCTCATCGATTTTTGAGAAAGCAATCATGCTGGGGGTCTGGCTCTCGAGATTCGGGGAGCAGTGTCTCTTCGATTTTTTGAGAAAGTAATCATGTTGGGAGTCTGGCTCTCGAGATTCGGAGGGCGGTGCCTCTTCGATTTTGGAGCAAGCAATCTTGTTGGGAGTGTTTTCTCGAATGTGAGTAAAGGTTGGGCATGTTTTTGCTAGTCTACCTTGCCACGAAGCACAGAGGTTGACACACAGGGACTTTCCAATTATCCAGCAATGGTACTGTTCCTTTACCCTCTCTTCGATTTTTAAGAAAGTAGTCATGTTGGGAGTCTGGCTCTCGAGATTCGGAGGACGGTGCCTCTTCGATTTTGGAGCAAGCAATCTTATTGGGAGTGTTTTCTCGAATGTGAGTAAAGGTTGGGCATGTTTGCTAGTCTACCTTGCCACGAAGCACAGAGGTTGACACACAGGGACTTTCCAATTATCCAGCAGTGGGTACTGTTCCTTTACCCTTGTGGGTAATAATATGTGGTAGCTAGACCTTCAAAATTTATGGGTCTAAACTTTGTTAGTGCTGTTTCTTTGCTATTCTTTTACCCTTCTTGGTCAGAGCGATGTAGTGGGAGCTGCAAGCTTCACGTGCTCAAACTTTGGCAGAGAACTTTGGCAAAGTTATCTGTGGTACCCATGAGCTATTGTTGCGTGTAGGAAGTGGGTGATTGAACAGTAAGATTCATGTGTTTTCTACTTCCCCAGAAGTCTTTGACAGAATGCCCATAATTTCCGCAAAACTGAGTGTGCGTGTGACAGGTGCTGACAAGGCTGGAAAAGGTTGGAAAAGTAGGTGCCTCTTCGATTTCTGATATCGGCCCTCGTGGTCTCTAGGGAGCCCAGCTTTTGAGAAAGCGAGCGCCTCTTCGATTTTTGAGATTGGCCTTCGTGGTCTTTGAGCAGCCCAACTTTTGAGAAAGCAAACGCCTCTTCGATTTCTGAGATCAACCCTCGTGATCTCTAAGCAGCCCAGCTTTTGAGAAAGCAAACGCCTCTTCGATTTCTGAGCAGGCGCCTCTTCGATTTCTGAAGCTTCGTCGAGTGCAGATTTTTTATAGGGGCTGGCATTAAGTTCCAAAGCACACTTAAATCTCCACCAGTAGAAGCTTCATTCTTGCACTTCTAAGATCTTGATTTGTCCGACCTCTTCTCTCTTCAACACCTTTGAAAATGTCTGGCCCCTCCGACCGTCGTTTTGACTTGAACCTTGTTGAAGAGGCAGCCCCGCCTTCTCCAGACAACATATGGCGCCCCATCCTTCGTCTCCCCTACTGGTCCTCTTACCGTTGGGGATTCCGTGATGAAGAATGATATGACCGCTGCGGTGGTGGCCAGGAACCTTCTCACTCCCAAAGATAACAGACTACTTTTCCAAACGGTCTGATGAGTTAGCTGTTAAGGATTCGCTGGCTCTCAGTGTTCAGTGTGCAGGTTCTGTGTCTAATATGGCCCAACGCCTATTTGCTCGAACCCGCCAAGTTGAATCATTGGCGGCTGAAGTGATGAGTCTCAAACAGGAGATTAGAGGGCTCAAGCATGAGAATAAACAGTTGCACCGGCTCGCACATGACTATGCTACAAACATGAAGAGGAAGCTTGACCAGATGAAGGAAACTGATGGTCAGGTTTTACTTGATCATCAGAGATTTGTGGGTTTGTTCCAAAGGCATTTATTGCCTTCGTCTTCTGGGGCTGTACCGCGTAATGAAGCTCCAAATGATCAACCTCTGATGCCTCCTCCTTCTAGGGTTCTGTCCAGTACTGAGGCTCCAAATGATACCCCTCCGGTGCCTTCTCTTTCTGGGGCTCTACCGACTGCTGAGACTTCTCCTAAGCAACCTTTGTGAAGGCTCCCTCTTGTGTGCTTATTTTGACTCATGTATATGTACATATTTGTAGCTTATCGGGGATATCAATAAATAAGCTTTCCTTCATTTCAACGTATTTGTGTTAAATACACCAAAGCCTTCTTCGCTAAGTTCTTTGAATTTTTCTTTTGTTAAAGCTTGTATGTTGAAGCTTTCTGAGTGGAGCATGTAGGTTGGGGTAGTGTTCTCTTAATTTCCCGAATGAGGAAAACTTCTCGGTTGGAGACTTGGAAAATCCAAGTCACTGAGTGGGATCGGCTATATGAATCTTAGAACGCCATTGTGCTCGATCCTGTGTCATGTCCTTCGTTAGATCCAAGTACTCTAAGTCTTTTCTTAGAGTCTCTTTCCAAAGTTTTTCCTAGGTCTTCCTCTACCCCTTCGGCCCTGAACCTCTGTCCCATAGTCGCATCTTCTAATCGGAACGTCAGTAGGCCTTCTTTGCACATGTCCAAACCACCGTAACCGATTTTCTCTCATCTTTCCTTCAATTTCGGCTACTCCTACTTTACCCCGGATATCCTCATTCCTAATCTTATCCTTTCTCGTGTGCCCACACATCCAACGAAGCATCCTCATCTCCGCTACACCCATTTTTGTGTACGTGTTTGATGTTTCACCGCCCAACATTCTGTGCCATACAGCATCGCCGGCCTTATTGCCGTCCTATAAAATTTTCCCTTGAGCTTCAGTGGCATACGGCGGTCACACAACACGCCGGATGCACTCTTCCACTTCATCCATCCAGCTTTGTATTCTATGGTTGAGATCTCCATCTAATTCTCCGTTCTTTTGCAAGATAGATCCTAGGTAACGAAAACGGTCGCTCTTTGGTATTTCTTGATCTCCGATCCTCACCCCTAACTCGTTTTGGCCTCCATTTGCACTGAACTTGCACTCCATATATTCTGTCTTTGATCGGCTTAGGCGAAGACCTTTAGATTCCAACACTTCTCTCCAAAGGTTAAGCTTTGCATTTACCCCTTCCTGAGTTTCATCTATCAACACTATATCGTCTGCGAAAAGCATACACCAAGGAATATCATCTTGAATATGTGTCGTGTTAACTCATCCATTACCAACGCAAAAAGGTAAGGACTTAAGGATGAGCCTTGATGTAATCCTACAGTTATGGGAAAGCTTTCGGTTTGTCCTTCATGAGTTCTTACGGCAGTCTTTGCTCCTTCATACATATCCTTTATAGCTTGGATATATGCTACTCGTACTCCTTTCTTCTCTAAAATCCTCCAAAGAATGTCTCTTGGGACCCTATCATACGCTTTTTCCAAATCTATAAAGACCATGTGTAAATCCTTTTTCCCATCTCTATATCTTTCCATCAATCTTCGTAAGAGATAGATTGCCTCCATGGTTGAGCGCCCTGGCATGAACCCGAATTGGTTGTCCGAAACCCGTGTCTCTTGCCTCAATCTATGCTCAATGACTCTCTCCCAGAGCTTCATTGTATGACTCATTAGCTTAATACCCCTATAGTTCATGCAATTTTGTACGTCGCCCTTATTCTTGTAGATAGGCACCAAAGTGCTCATTCGCCACTCATTTGGCATCTTCTTCGTTTTCAAAATCCTATTGAAAAGGTAAATATATTTGTGGTATTCAACAAAGTCAATTCTATGTAATTAATCACTGTATGACACTGTCCTTAAATATATTTTGTGTAAAATTAACGGTTTATGATGCCTAGGTGTCACTTCTTTATGCAAACGTCTCCCCAGATGACATACTGCTTAAACAGAAACTTGACATACTAGCAGCTAGCCACCCAAATCTAAAGGTAGAATTTGTCTCATCAGAAGATACTATCGCTGCATCACTCCAAATTTGGGTATTTATCTCATGAAATGAGGCTTTATTTTGTGAAAACAAAAATGCAGGTATTTTACACGGTAGATAATCCAACAAAGAGTTGGAAAGGGGGAAAAGGTTACATATCAAAGGACATTGCAGTTAAAGGCTTACCTGCTCCTGGTGAAGATACTCTTGTCCTGGTAAGTGTACTTGTCGATATCAAAGGACCACATACTGCAGAGGCACCATGTACTTGCCGATATCATTTTCTAGCTCAATTAAGTCATCGATCGAACTTCATTTGCTTGTGCAGGTATGCGGTCCTCCTGGGATGATGAAACATATATCTGGTGACAAGGCTAAAGACTGGTCTCAAGGAGAGGTAAAAAAATGCGTTGTCCAGGTTTTAAATTTTGCTGTAAAACCAATTACCATTTCTCTCAATGTTCTTCTCTGTTTTCTCTTAAGTTTCTATTTGTTTTGTTGCAGGTCACTGGCATACTAAAAGAACTTGGATACACTGAAGAAATGGTTTACAAATTTTGATTCAGCGAAGACGATTTAGCTTTTAAGAACCAATCACTAGGCTTTAATTCAAGTTTTGTGCAATAAAATGTGTTCTTAGGAAGCATACGCAACTCGTACTCGAATTTGAACTCTTTTATTTAATAAATTTGGGAAGAATACTGAATAGGATGTAGTGTTATGAAATATTTTGTATTGCCCACTTGAGTTGGCCTTTGATTTTAAAAATTGATTCTCATTTTGAAAACGAGTATCAAACTTGATGCAACTCGATCTTTAAAGCGTGCAGAAATGATTTCCTATTTTGAAATTTACATATCGTTTGATTCTGTATAACGTAAATGTATGGACAACCACTTTGAAAATGACATTACTTATACCTTGTAAGTAAACAAGTCATTAAAGTCATTAAACTCAGGCGTGAGGAAGTTGACCGTCCGTCGGAAGATCTGCTGGACGGTTGCCCCACCGGCGAACCGTGACACTGTTAATTTTTTATTATAAAGGAAAATCTAATATGTGTACGGTTACCTGAAAAAATTATTTAAAAAGAGCGAGGAAAGGAGCAGGGCCTATATAAACCGAAACGAGGAGTCGCAGCGCCAAAGGACCCTAAACGCCACAACCAGCAAAACCCAAACAACACACAGAAAGCACAGCACAGCACAAACCTCCCTCACTCTCTCCGTTCCCGATCTCTCATCCACCATCGCCGCAGTATATGCCATGCACATTTCTTAGCACCCTCCGACTCTGACATTTCTCTTCAAGTTTTTTTTTTCTCTCACCATTTTCTTCTGATTTCCGCTTCGAAAAATGGAGGAAGAGTTGGTGAAGAGAAACACCGATTGCGTCTATTTCTTGGCTTCTCCTCTCACATGCAAGAAGGTTCGGCGACAAAAAACAATAACCCGTTTCGTTTTTTTGTTTGAATTTGATTTTACTTTTGTGTTTGATTTTGTCCAGTGCTGCGAGTTGGGGTTCTTTCTTTGTTTCCATTTGTTACAATTTGCCCTGCATTTGAAGGATTTTTGGGTTTTAGTGTTTCTGAAAGAAGAGCAGGATCTAGGGTTACAATTGCTTGATGTATCGAATTCGAGTGTTCATTCTTTATTGGGTTCTGTATGCACTGAATGTATTTTCAATTTAGCACATTTTAGTGTGATATTTGTTTGAGTAGTGACATTGGTGGTGGTGTTCTTTTTCAGGGAATTGATTGCGAGTTTCGACACAGCAAGATTGCGAGGCTCAACCCGAAGGAATGCTGGTACTGGTTGGCTGGGAATTGTCTCAACCCGACCTGTGCTTTTCGACACCCTGTACGCTCTTGTTCTCTTTTGTTTCAACTGCATCATTGTGCTGTGCTTGATTTCTTTATCCTCGGTTTATGGATTCTCCTTTCTAGGTTATGTGTAGGTTGGGACCTAGAACATGATATGTTTAAGATGATTTTACAGTTTCACAATAAAATACATGTTTTCGTCAAAACAATATTCTTAATGTTTCATATATGTTTCTGGTTCCATGTGTGTAATCTTTTCATTGATTGTTTGTCCTTCTTAAGTTCCATATCACATGTCATTAGGGCGACAGAAACTCTTGATGTGTTGTTGACTTACGCACATTTAAGTTAGTGCTAGTAATTGACATTTAATTTGTATTCTAAATTTGATACCCTATCATATCTTGAGGATTTGCTTACACCCACCTTTTTCTTTTCGGATGGTTTTATGTAACGTTTATCAATTCATGACTGTTTTAATGATCTTTTCCCTCCCTTGGTCATTTGACAATGCCAATTGACACTTTTCTGTTTTGATAGCCATTGGATGGGCATGGTGGAACACCATCAGAGTCTTCCCCGCCTTCTGTGACTTCAAACAAGACCAGTGTTCCTTGTTACTTTTACTCCAATGGCTTCTGCAGCAAAGGTGATAAATGCTCTTTCTTGCATGATACTGATAGTAACGCATCAAATGGGAAATCTTCAAAGACAGCCTCTGCATGTAATGAAGCACTTGCGCTTACTTCAGAAAACGAGGCAGCTGCAGGGAATGGAGCACTTGCACGCATCTCAGAAAGCAAGGCACCTGCAGGAAACGAAGAACTTGCACGCACTTCAGAAAACAAGGCACCTGCAGGAAACGAAGCACTTGCACTTAATTCAGAAACCAAGGCATCTGTAGGAAATGACACAATGTCAGCGCCAAGAATCACACATCTCAACCCTTCTGAAACTGCCTCGAAGGCAATAGTTGGTACAAGATTCCAGCACAAAGAGAATCTTAGTTATTTTGAGCAGCGGGTACAAAGAGATGTTCCACAGAAAAGTGTCTATACTCAGATTTCTACGTCTGGAGATGAAGAGGCTGGTGAAATTAGGTCAGAGAATTCTTCTCAAAAAAAAATTAGGTCAGACTCGCTTCCAGAAGATAGCTCTATTCGTACCAAATCTCATTCATGGACAGATCAGAGTTCAGAGGATGAAGATGATGACCTTGTGCCAGAGGAACGCTGGGAATCCTCCCCAGGATTTGATGTTCTTGTTGATGGAAAATCAGACAATTTGGGTTGTGACGATGATCAGGAGTACTTTCCAACACTTCACGGGGAGCACAGGGAGCTGAATAACCGCTTCTTGGGCTATGATTTTGAAAATCCAGACGAGTATGTTCCCGAATATCCTGATGCTAGACTTCTACATGACAGAGATATGTACAATGACTGTCTGGATACCAGGATTATTTTTGGTAATCAGGGACCAAATCCTGTCTACACGAAGGAGAGAATGTCGGATTCGATGTTCTCCAGCAAGAGGAAACATATGCCAAGGGAACTGTTCGATGGTGACGAGGATTTTTTGGATCTCCGAGACCGCCTGAGAAGGCGAAGAGTGACTGATGGTCGTTCAATTACAGGCTTATCAAGAAGGCACGAATCACTTGGATTGTTTGGCAGGCCCCAAAGACATGGACTGGGTAGGCGGTTGCATGGAAGATTGGCTTCAGTAATGGGAAATAACACTTATGAATCACTTAGGGGGAATGGAGCTTTCTCCAATGGTGGAATTCAACGCGGTTCGCTTAGGCATGCACAGGAATTTAGATATAAGAAGCATCACAAGGAGAGAAGGCCGGCAAAGCAGCAGTTTCCTTGGTCCGAAATCTCAAAGAAACCATTTCCAAGGGAGAAGAGATGTGCAGGGCAGCCAACTACCTTTACAGGACCCAAGAGCCTTGCCCAGATCAGAGAAGAGAAGAGGAAAGCAGAAGAAAATGGGGGTAGCATTGGGGTACCAAAACGCGCGAGAAGAACAGTGGATTTCCAGGGTCCGAAACCCTTGAAAGAAATTCTAAAAGAGAAGGGGAAGATACCTGACTAGAGGGAAGGCAGCGCTGCTGGCAGCAACTGAAGTACTTAATGAAGAGCGATTTCCAGGTGATGACGACAAAAAATTGTCTGTTGTTTACCGTTGCTAGATAGAAATAGAATCATAGAAACACATTTTCCTTCATGTTACTAGATGAAGCTTGCATGGGCTGGTGGTGCAGAAGCTTACAAGCGTTGTTGAAAGACCCGTTTTAGAGTCTACATTTACTCTCGAATATGGTAGCAACTGATTCGGAAGCTTGACATGGTTGGGTGCGAAGGCTTGGCATCTCTTTTTGGCATCTTCATTTGCTTTTGTTATGGTTTTTGTACGCGGCCGCATATCCTCTCATCTTAGTCATTGTCGTTTCTCGTTGATATTCTGTTTCTATTCTCGCTTCAATTTGTACATTACATACCTTACGTAGCTCAAGCGGTCACGGGCGTTTATTGTTGTCCGATGTCTCGTTGTAGATATTAGAATTCCTTTTGGCTGAGTCAAACACAGTGGTTTAGGAAATTACATGTTAGAACAACAATATTGACCAAGTGGTGACCCATGTTGGATTGTTTTGGGCTTAACCCGACCCGCATTCATCTAAGGTCCACACGGCTTGTACACAGCAGTGATTGACCGTTGATCCAATTTATATACTTTTCAGACCAGAAATAAAAGAATTATATCTTTAGACGAGAGACGAGAGCTGACACGGAAGTTGGCCGACATCGGAAAATATGGAAAAAAATGTTACCAAATTATTTGATTTCTTTTCGGTTGATGTCCCGAACTTCTATGCAAAATGGGGGACCAACAGATGTCCAACAACTTGTGTGGAAATGGAGCATTATGAACACAGAAGTCGACATGCCATTGGAAGATTTTCTTGCTAGCTTTGACGATCTCAACTTCGTTTGGGAACGTTTTTTTGTCTTCTAATTAAAGAGAGTGAGAGAGTGAGAAATTAATTATTTAAGTTAGAAAGAATAATCGATTAATTTTGTATATTTAATTTTTGCTATAGTTGATTTTCCTTTTTTCTTAAATTGTAGCTCCACGTTATTAAGTAAGTTTTACTTTTACATGATTTTGCTCATCAACAATTAAAATGACGGAAGAACATCTTTAAAGAAGATGTCAATTTTAAATATGAAATTCAAATTTGACCATCTATGTGACACTTTGATATTTTTTAAAAGTTCGTTATGCATTCGTTATGTCTAAATAAAATAATAATTAATTTTTTTTTGAAGTTGGTGTAAATTTTGGCAACAAAAGTAAAGAGTGTCAATCCATGTCATGTCATATCAGATTAAATTTTTTAGTTGAAAAACATTGTTACTGCATTTTAATATCTCATTTAAAAGTAAAGGAGCTTTGAAAAAATCTTTTGAACTTTATTCTTTTTAGAAAGATTAGGATGTTGGGTAAGTTTATATTTCCTTCTCACAGGAGATTTATTGGTTTTTCCTAGTTGACTATGATTTCATTAATGTTACTTTCCTTATAAGAACTTCCAATTCCTAATAATATTTGGAATTTAATACAAATTAGATTTAATGCATATATAATCGCCTAGCTCAAATTTGTTACATTCATACTCCTTATTCACATTTTCTGATACACCAAAACTATCAAAATAATCAGGGAGAAGAAAAGAACACTAAAATAAGACATAGCAAATTAGCGATTAGATGTCACCTCCTTATCTCTTTCCTCCTTACATTCATTTGTCACTCTCTCTCTCTCTCTCTCTCTCTCTCTCTCTCTCTCTCATCCCCCAAGCAGCGAGAAAAGTCCAACACCGTATAAATAAACAAACTCATACCATTATAGCAACTTGGACTTGCAAATTTTCAATCCCAAATTCCAAATCCCAGCCTTCAAATCCACATAAATCGAACCCTCCAGACTCCACAAACAAAACCCAGATCGTAGATTCAGAGATTTATCATAAAATTTCAGAGATCAATCCAATGGCTGAGGGGCTTCAGAGGTCTGAGAGCACGTTTAGGAGGCAGGGCTCGTCGGGCTTGATTTGGGACGACAAGTTTCTACAGCGGGCGCTGAACCAAGTGGAGGCGGAGAAGCAGGCGGAGGCAGCTCAGCAGGCTGAGGGCGGCGGCGGCGGCGGCGCGGCAGGACCTACCATGGAGCGGAGCCGATCCAACGGAGGAAAGGGGTATCGGACGGTCAAGGTTTCGCCGCAAGCGACGGACCCGCCTTCCCCGAAAGTCTCCGGCTGCGGGATCTGCGGCGCGTTTGGAAAACCGAAGCCGGCGTCGGCGCGTCGGCCGAGATCGAACAAGCGAAGGTCGTAGAATTAATGAATTTTTCAAATTTGTACTTAAAATTTGTTAGTTGTTTTTGGTTTAATTGGAACAAAAAACTGCATGCCCAGTTTTTCTTTTTTAATTTTCTGATATTATTAGAGAATTGTGGGAATGAAGGTGTGATTGTAATGTAATCTTGTTAAAAATTATAATTAAATACTTTTGGTGTGTCTGGTGAGCTACAATAATATCCTATTAGAATTCTTAATTATGTTCTAATTTTTCTTAATTGGTCTTTAGTTCTTGGGGAAGTTTTTGCGTTCACTTTTGGAGTGTCACTAGGTTTTTCGAAATTATGCATATTCTGAAGTTAATTACTAATTAAGCTTAGCGTTGTTTGTGCAATTCTCTCACCTGATAATCTGCATGTTGTGGTCTTGTTTACCAATCTTAATTACCAATAAGCTCTTAGTTATTTAGGATTTGAAGATGTTCTAAGTTCGAATGCCCTTAATTTTTTTGGGTTTGAAGATGTTCTGAGTTCGAATTTTCATCACGTATTGATGATTTGATAGAGAAAGAAAATGGTTGCCATTTGGAATTATAATTCAAATGCTATAATCCGCTTACTCCATTATTCAAATATTACCATTCGTATTCATAATCAGAGAATATAGTCGACGGGTTCACATATGAGTTAGCGTATACAATTGTTATACGTGAAATTATACGAATATTTCTTCGATATTTTTAAGCATTATAAAATTTTACATGAAATAGATTTACCGTCGTATTCCTAATTGTATATACATTATCATATAAAAAAAGAATTGCATTTGACAATATATTATTAGATACAGAACACCATGTGACGAAAGAGCAACTAGCTAAAATGGCGTTTCGATAAACCTGAATCCGCTAACTAATCACCTCAGTAGATTCAAAGAAAGTGGGAGCCGGAAATTTGATCTATTCAACTAAGGGCATTTTTTCATGGTTAATGTAGGGAAGACTGGATTTATAATTAAATTTTGTAAACTAAATGACATAGAAGCTGATGATTAAATTATTACTTAAATATTGATTAACGCATTTATTTCTTATTGATATCACATTAGTTAGTCACAAAATTTATCTATAAACTTAATCTATCTAGTATTAATCTTTTTTCATAAAAGATTTTTGACGTGTTTTCGATGTGAGATAAGAAATAAGAAATAAAATTGTAGGATCTTTTTACAATATTGCCCTCTTGGAGGACAGCGCATTGCATAATGCAGCCACGCGGTAGCAGCTAGCAAGCATATCAAATTAACTACCTTTTTATATTAATATAATATAATGTCTGAAAATTGTTGTGTTTAGTTGGGAATTGGATCTGCTCTGGACACTAGTCTGGAGCTTAATGATTAATTTATCTAGGTCATTGATTTGTGTGTAAAAGAAATCAGAGCTGTTAGTTTGTGTGATGAGTCAAGAAAATAAGTTAAAGCAGAATGTTAAATTCAATTTGCGCGGCCCAGATTAGTTGATTATTAAGGTCCTGATCGGATCCAATTTGGTAAGTAGCAATTAGCAACTTTTGTTAAATTCTAATCATTTTCTAATAATTATTGTCTTATGAAAATTAAGAGCCGGCCATCAGATCATTCTACTATTTGTTGTCTTTTACTTTTAAGAGTTTTATTTTAATTTTGTTTAAGAATATACCACAATGAAAGTAATCCTTGACATCAACGTGCACTCCCCCGAGTATCCAACGTTCTTATATTTGCCAAGTGCAAGAGAACAAGAAATGGATGTAACACGAGGACATTTCAGGCGGATTCACTGTTTTTTTAATTGAAAAACATGTTGTAAATGAAGAGATGTCTAAGAAGCTTATTCGTTACTTACTTTTCAAACAAACATTTGTACATCTGTATATAAATGCTAGTTCATTAAGATACGCAATAGTTCAAAACTAATTGTTCATTATCTAATGAATTTTTTTTTCCTTTTAATACTCGAGAGTTTTCAGTCTCTTACTATTACTCTTACATAAACTTGGTTAGTTTTGCGTTTTTATAAATATTCAATGCATGTGAGCTCGTATGGATTGCATCGTTTTTTTTTTTTTCTTTTACACTTTTAAAATGAGAGATATTAAAACAAAAATACTTCAAACAATGAAGACCAAAAGTCAGTTCTACTACCAATTAGAGCTCAGCAATTTTTGCCCAACGGTAGAAGGGAACATTTTTGTTATAACAACCAGAAAATAAAAAAGATAAGGCATTTTAGCCAAAATAATCGTTGAGATTAGACTAACTCCTCACTTTGTTTGATGAGATTTTAAAATTGATAGAAGTGATCCTTGAGTTTGTCTACCATAAATCATTTTGATCATTTTGTAAAAAATCTTTGTTAAATAAGGACCAAAATGAAAAAAATATTCTCAATTTAATAAACAACGGCCAAAACGATTTGACAAAACTTGAGGATGTTTTTGTCATTTTGGTCTTATTTAACGGAGATTTTTCACTTAAGGACCAACATGATTGACGGTGGATAAACTCAGGAACCACTTCTATCGATTTTAAATCATATGAACCAAAGTGAAGAGTTATGACAATCTCAATGATCATTTTGGCTAAATCGCCAAAAAATAACGTGAGAATATTCAAATAAATAGGACTAGTTGTGAAGAAGTTACAATTTATTTTGGTAGGTCCCAATAACGATAATTTTTTTTCTCAAACGTTGAATTTTATCAGATTAGATGCTAGATTAGCCATCAATGGGGTTTGAACCTAATAACAATAATTAATTAAAACAGAATTGTGTGGCAAAGTTGACAGCTAATACACCATCAGCTAATTCATCTTCTAATCCAATTTTCTATTGACAATTTGGCTTGCTTTAATTAGGTTTTTTGACAAAAATAATAATCAACTAGGGTTAGGGTTAGGTCACTGCTATTGGATTTTGACAATTTCGGATCCTCTTTGTGATAATCCTGAAGATCCTCCAATCATATCCTTTCATCGTACATCGTGCGGTCATAAATTTTTGTAATTTTTGTTATTTAAAATTGAATTTAAACAATATCTGACAAAAACTGACAGCACGATGTACAATGAACGGATGTGATTGGAGGATCTCCGGAATCCTCACAAGAGGAGCGAGAATCCTCTCTCTTTGACAATAACGTTTTCCTGCACTTAACTTCCTCAAAACAATCATTTATGACCTTTTTAATACTATTTATTCACGATTTTCTTCATTGTTGAGTTATTAAGGATCCACACCATGTGAGCGTATGAATTTTTTTCTTCTCAAGAAAGTAGAGTACATAAACATAAATGACTCACTTTTTTTTTTTTTTAAATGAAATTACCAGTGGCGGGTTCAGAATTTTTTAGTGCAAAATGACTTCTGTCAAACAGTTTGTTCCAAAACAACTATGCTGGAGCTTAACTGCCATGAAAATTCTACATTATGTGTAGCGAAAGGGGCGAGTAGAAGTAACAACCTCCACCACTCGCCCTTAAATCTGCCTCTAAATAGTCATATCAAATATCTTTAAGGTAGTTACACAACTGATAACAATAAGATCAAGGGTTTAAGGCGACCTAGAAAATAAACGGTTTAATTATCATGAAATATTGCAAGATAAAATTAAGAGACAGAAAAGATATAATAAGAAATTGAATTTAAAAAATTGCCAGCATTCCTCGAATTTTAATTATTGTATTTGATTTGTTTAGCAGTTCGAATCAAAAGGAAATTATGCGTTTACGGAAAGACCTTCCGTGACTTCATCGTTGGCTCGTAATTGTATATGTTCATATATATAAAATTGCGGGGTTTCTGTTTCCATACACTCCAAAACAAGCATAGTTTCCTAATTCCAGTATATTTAAAAGCTTAGGGATAATAATTAAAACTGATTAATCATAGTTTCACCTATTATTTATAGAGAACTTTAATGAAAAACTATCGTTACTGTTTACTTTAACGAAAAATCATATTTTTACACTAAAAGTCAATCATGGTACTATTCATTTTACCCTTTATTTTATCCTAATCGTTAAAACTTAAAGTTTCCAAATTTTTTTCATTAATTTTTTTTATTTATATGCTTGGACAAATAGAAGAAGCCAAATTAATTAAGAAAGTAGCAATCAGCAGCCGCAACCGAAGAACCTGACCGCCCCGGTATATATTCTTCTGCCTTAAGACGTGTTCAACTAAAAAAAGCCAGCCACAAGGGACCACGAATTGGTCAGACTGCAGACCAATCTGGCAACCCATATACTTGACTCCTAATCCCACCTTCTCTCTTTCTTTTTCTCCATAACTGCTCATGATTGTTTCTCTTTTTTTTCTTTTTTTTTTCTCTTTTTATTTTTATTTTTTATACAAAAGATAGTTTACTTTAAATAATTCAATCTCAAGTGCAAAGAAGAAACATATTGTTCTAGCTAATATATGTTGTTTCTATGTGTTTAATTAATTAATATTAATTTATTCATTATTTTGCCTCATTTTTGTTGTTTTGTTTCATCGAGACAATACAATAAAACTCTAATTTTAGTATCCTATGTTATGTTAATGAACATTTTGGATGCGGTTCCTAAATACCAATGTTATTTGACTAAAACCTTCGTGATTTTTAGTTTTTTATCGAAGTTTCTAACATTAATGTAATAATGTATTTCCATTTAAGTTATTATATTTTTAAATTAAAAATAAAATTTGTAGTTATTTATATTAATGAGATTTTAAATAAAACCCATAATTTATGAGATTAAAAATATTAAAGATGAATTATACTGTCCAATATATATATATTTTGTGCGTATATATATATATATATATCAAAACTAACCAAAAATTTGTTGTAATAAAACATGGGTACATTTAAAAAAAAATATTAGGCTTAATAACATTATTAAATTTCTTCAATTAAACTTGACATTGATACCTTCTCAAATCAACAAAATAGAATGTGCCCATATAAATATAAAAAATGGATTAGAGAAAAGAATGAATGAATTTTATATAAAAAATGTGACACACCCCGATCCTAGAATCAAGGCGTGCTGGCCGTCACGCCTTGATTCTAGGATCGGGGTGTGTCAGTTTGGTATCAGAGCCTAACCCTGGCCGTGGTGTGCTGATGAGGACGTCGGGCCCCTAAGGTGGGTGGATTGTGACATCCCACATTGCCCAGGGGAGTAATCCTTAAATGTATATTCTCATCCCTACCTAGCACGAGGCATTTTGGGAGCTCACTGGCTTCGGGTTCCGTAGGAACTCCGAAGTTAAGCAAGAAGGAGGCCAAAGCAATCTCATGATGGGTGACCCACTGGGAAGTTGCTCGTGAGTTCCCAGAAACAAAACCGTGAGGGCGTGGTCGAGGCCCAAAGCGGACAATATTGTGCTACGGTAGTGGAGCGAGCCCGGGAAGTGATCCGCCCCGGGCCTGGATGTGACAAAATGAGTACATTTTATATTAAAAAAGGTACATTTTTCATATAATAAATTGGTATATTTAAGAATGGGTACATATATGATTAAAAAATAAAAAAAAATTCATAAAAATTTAATGGGTACAAACTTATTCTAATTTTATTTTTTAATTTTGGAATTGTTTGAATTGAAAATTAATTAGGAGTTTAATAAGGGTGTGAGTATTAAAACTCTAAATCAATTACTAATTTTTATTATAAAAATTATGTAAATTACATGTAATTCATTAACATATTAATGTTAAGAACTTTGATCAAAATCTAAAAATTAATAAGGTCTTAAACATTAAAAACTAGAGACCAAATACTAATTTTTACTACGTTAATTTGCAACTCTACCAGCTTCAATAAAACCCTAATTAATTAGAGCCCAACGACGTCAAAAAGAATAAACTCGACTACCAGTCACATCTTTCACGACTAACTTGAAATCTCTTTCAATCGAACAGTCCTCGTTCTTTCAAAACCATACAAATCTTTCAATTGAAATTGATCTTTAACCTGGAAAACAAGTCTCTCCAATGATTTATAAAAAGCTGCATGCGGTAAAATCCCGAAATCCTAATCGAAAAGCTGCATGTGGTAATTAAAATAAACCCTAAACCCTAATCCAGAAGCTGCACGCCGAATTGCAGGTCATCTCTGGATAACATGGTCCACAAGCTCAATTTGTGTTTTCATTGATGCCTTTCTAATTACTTTTGTGATTTCTTTTTATGCAAACGATATTCTAAGGTAAACTAATTTAAATTATGAAAGCGGTGATTTAAACCCAAGTGCATAAAGCAGAGAAAATCTGCTCTAACCAATGTGATTATGTGCCCATATTTGCTCCTACTACTACTAGTACGTCCATGACTTCAATATGGCTATGGACCAAACTTGGAAATATGATTATGTTCTCTAAATAATTAAGGTCGAATATTTGAGATTTATATATGCACACTCTAATCCAGTGTTCTTGTTTAATACAATAATGATTACTTGAACCCACAAAAAAGAAATAAATAGGTAAATGCAGACATCAATCAGTCTACTGCTTTCTGGATTTTAGTTCTAAACAAGAGAATGCACAGTTTCTCCATTGAAAAATATAGGAAGCAACCTGTTGAATGGGTCACAAATGACCCGAAACCCGAGCCCACTATGCAATGCCATGCCGGCCCGTACAATTTATCAAACTCCTGCATAAATCAGAGACCCCGTGATTAATCAATGAATATAAGTTGTTTAATTGTGTGACCAAGAACATGGGCTGTTGGAAGCAGCTGGAACATGAACCCAGTCCAAATTTGCAGACAGGTGGACAACTAAAGCAGAAACACAAGTGCTGCCAATTCAGATCCATTGATTCAAGATCTAAACTCTCTCATGAAATCATCTGATCAATGGGCCCATTGATAGAGAGTTAGAAGAGGAAGGAGGCCTTGTAAATGATCGTTGTATACAACTACATGTTTATTTCATACATAATTGTTTGTTAAGTAACCTCATATTAATTCAAAGGCCAAGAAGAAGATCTGTCTTCATCACCGACTTCGTGTATGTGTCTATCTTATGCAATGCATTTCATGTGTCTATATGATCATAGTACGGTAAGAAAAATACACACATGACTATATACAACCAAAAACACTTAAAAATCTTCAAGCGTAGAAGAACCAAGAAATATATCAGATCTGGTGATCGGTGACTCAATGTCTATCTAAATATTTTCATTAATTGATCCCATGTGGTCTGTGGGGTTTGTATGTGTCACCGTATGAATATGATCACACATGAACCCAATCATCCAAAACAAGACCCTATGAATCGTATGAATATGATCACATATGAACCCAATCATCCAAAACAAGACCGTGTGAATATGATCACACATGATCCCAATCATCCAAAATAAGAGATATGAAGGGAAGGAAACTCCAAAAAGAAACACCACTTAGAAACCAAGACCAAAAAAAGAAAATAATTTTATCCTAGACATTTGTCTTGGACTTGTTTCCCCTCGAGAGATTTTCGGGTGTTACTGATTGTACCAGTGATGGGGCAGAATTTCTGCTTCAAAACTCATAATATAAACCTTTTTCTTTTGAACGATTAACCTTAATTAGTTTTAAGAACAAATAATAGTGGTGAAATAAAGTAATTACAATATAACATATGTAGATCTAGGGTTTGAATTTGGAACATACCTTTTTTAAGTTATAAGCCATGTGTCTTGTGCTAAACTTCTCCAAGCTGTCATAAGTTCGTCTAGCGCTACGAAAGGCATGAACTTGCATGAACCCAGGCATGTCCGAGACCAACACCTTCACTTGAAGAAATGAAGCCACTGATGCCAAATTAGTTTCCACATGAGACACAGACTTCCTCGCCACCATCACTTCTCCACCTCCTCCGCCTCCCCCTCCTCGTCTTCCATTTCCAAAATTACCATCTAAACTATAAGTTTCATTCCCGCCCTGCTGCCTCTTCTCGTCACAATGGAGTACATCAATTTCTGGACGAGGTTTTGGTTTTCTCATGGATGAATTGAACCAGTTTCGTAAAGCATGGGTTTTATCCGCCATTGTAGTAACAGGCCTGGATTCCGGCTTTAAGTGACGGCCGCTGCTCGGATTGTATTTGTACGTGGACATGGCTCCTCCTCTCTTCTGCTTCTCATGGCTGGGAGTGCTACTCGCCATTTCTCAGTTCTCAGACTCTCTCTCTTACTCTTTCATGTGTTATGGAGGTACAAAAAATATATAAGCAGGATAGGGGGACTGTTTCGAATCACCAGGACAATCAATGGGATATTAATTAATGGTTGATTAGGATGGCAACATAATCTATAGTAGCAAACCATGTGTTTCTGCCTGTAATCTTGGATATTAAAATGATGTTGAAATTGCTACTTTTGTGACTTACATTTCTTGATTTTGATTAGGAGTAATAATGTTTCACGTCGTTTATCATTTTTTATATTTACGTTGAATATATATACTAATCGATCTAATTCATTTCGATGAAAAACTTCGTAATAATGTCTTTTATTTTTAAAATTGTGATATCGTTAGCTGTGTATATACTAAGTTGTTTATTGATTTTGATTTATATAGATATTAGTCAAATCTTAATTCAGTTCAAACATCAATAATACACTCAATCATGCATGTGACCTAATATTAATTGTATTTACATGATCAATCAGTCATGTATTTGCATGTTAAGTAGTGATTAGAATTCGTGTTAATATATCATATCATTTTACGAGTTTGTTGTTGCTTGAAATTGGCGATGGTTGGATATTGGTAATTACTCGTTGGGGCATAATGGTCTCCGATCGATGGGCGGTTTATGTGGTTTTGTTTTGGCGACAAAGCAGCAGAGGACCCCCGACCTCCCTACCTTCGACCGCTTAATTATTTTGTTGGTGGTACACAACAAAATGGTCGCTGTCTTTGCTGTATGCTGTTATTTATCCACATATATACATATATAAACAATTACATTACAAGATTTGACAGCTCCTAACTTACAATTGACTATGATATTGTATATGCTAGTGTATATTTTATAACAACCCTTGTTTTCTTCAAAGCACCTTTCCTAGAAATTAACAGGATCACAAATTATTAAAAGATTATGATATAAAAAGGAATTATTAAGGGCAACAAATGAAAATTCTTTCTTAGACTATTCAATTTTTCATTTGTAATATTGAACAAAATCGAGTATCTACTTCGGTCAGTTAGTCACGATTTTATGTTTATCTCTCACTTTTAATCAAAATTTTAATAATGTAAATTAAAATAGTTGGGCAGAAACGAAATCTGGTAGTTTGATCATGTTTTCTATTTTTACTTTAATAAAAATATATAAGAATTATATAGGAAAAATCAGGGAGGAAGAAAAGAGGTATTACATAAACTACTCTTGGCATTCGTTTAAGAGATTTTCAATCAATGAAAATTACTGCATGGGCATATAATTATCTATTAAGCATCACCATCGGGTCAACATGATCACATGTCCTATACTTCTTCCAATATGCTTAGAGGTCAAAAAGTTCTGAAATAAAATTCTCTTTTAAAAAAAAAATTAGAAGGTCAGATTTTACTTCCTCATAATGGTGCAGTTCACTTTTGATTTTATACGATGTGTTTGATTTGATCAACGATTACTTGAGAATAAACTGACAATTCGAATCATTAAAAGACAATATATAATAAAACTTCACCCAATATCCTTCAATAAAAAACACATTTTTTTTTTATAATTTTGAGATATATAGCGTCTACAGTCATCATAGACTCAAAATTTTGGCCAATTTTGAGCCACATAGCGAAAAGTACTTAGAACCCCATCTAAACAGTAGAGTTCACCAATCACCATATTGTTCTCTTTCCAAATTAAATGTTACGTAAATTATAGGGAGCATGTTTGTTAGAAGACATTAATGGATTTTGATTGGTGAATTTGTATTTTAGTTCCTTATCGTTGGCACCATATATAATATAAGGGTATAAATCTGCATGTGGGGCTTCGGACTTGGAAGCTCCTGAGCGACCTCTCCCTTCCCCCCAACACGCCCCCACAAAAAAAAATTACTTGTGGGTTAAAAGCTCAACAACAGACCTTTCATTCAGGATGGTCTTTGTTGATAATTAAAGGAAGAGGAGCCCACAGTCTCATTCTTCATGCATTCATAAACAGTGTAAGGCAAAATGATATAGTTTTCTTTGAAAGCGATCGGGGAGTCAAATACAAGATCTCAAGTGAAAAAGCGAGTCATTCTAAACTACTTGAGTTGCGTGTCCCCCTTCAGGAAAATCTTGATGCCAATTTGTAATTGCTACATAAACATGTAAGTGTACTGCAAGGCAAAATGACCTAGTTTTCTTTATACAAGCGATATTGGATAATAGGGAAATCGAACATAGGACCTCATATGTAGGAGTAACCGTTCTCAACTACTTGAGTTACCTTACCCTTGCAGGCAAAATGAGCATTTAAGTAGACAAAAAAATGGTTAGGTTTTGGGATAGAAGAAAGCTTCCAATTTTTGTGAGGGTAGGCGAGTAGATTTAATAGGATAGTAAATTTAGCTAAGTACTAGTTTGGTACTGAGGTGCTTTTATAAAAAAGTGGGTAAAAAAAAAAAGGTTGAGCTCAAAAAGGTGTTTGGTAAACACTTAAAAACAACTTATTTTCACAATTTTGGGTTAAAAAAAAGTTGAAAACGTGAAGCAGCAAAAATGAGCTTATTCTTAACAGTTTTTTTTTAAAGTACAGCAATACAAAATCAACCCTAAATCTAGTAGCTAAATTGTAGTGAGAGTCAAAAGTGTGGGAAGAAAGTCAATGAAACGGTTAAGGAAAAAAAAAGGAATTAATGTTGGATGCAAAAACAATGTTATTACGCTATCGGATATTCAAATATCGATAGTTTTGGAACTTAATTTGAGGTGTAGTTAGCAAGACCACTTACAACTACAATTATTTTTCTCCGCTTCGTATATAGTCTAGTGATATTTTTTTGCATTTGTACACTATCAAATAAAGATTATTCTCTTGGTTAGTTAGATGTCACAGTTCTACATCAACGCTTTGGCATTCATCTTCAAGCCATGGTTAGCTATAAATTCACACACCATTTTCATTCCTTCTAATCTTTCTCAGCTTTCCTTTTCTCTTTTTTCAACTAAATTCATGCAAAAATTGCAGAAATGGGAGTTCCATGCAACCCAAAACAGCGACTATGAATGAAATAGTAGCTCTTCCCGTTGGACTGAAGGGAGCTCCCAATTCTTCTATTTTGTTTCCTCGACAAGGGACTTACAACTAAATTAAAATATCTAACCCTGCAACCAAAGTCCTGTGTTCTCCTAGCACATATTCTTTGCTCGTATAAAAAAAAAAAAAAAAAAATAGCGCTCATGTGTTGTAGGTAAGTTTTTATTTTTTAACTTTTATCTGCTCACTGATGAAACTTGAATCAGTACTTATGTACAACAAAAACAAAAACAAAAGTTTAAAAAAAAAAAAACTAGTTATTTTCAACTTTTATCTGCTCATGCGATCTGCTGCTGATGCTGTTGAGGTTTCATTTGGATTACTAGTTTGATGAGATGCGGTGGCTGCCGTTGTTTCTGAGCACTACTACTGACACGTGTGCAGGATCTGATAGGTTAGCTTTCTAGTGGCACAATTACAGATCTCAATCACTGTACCATTTGGGGCATGGAAGAAAAGCTAATTACAGTTGATCCCACCTTCCTCCACCCCGTGCTTCACGTACTCGATCCCATCGATCTCCTTCAAATTTTTCTCCACCAAGGCCATGCTCTCATACTGCAAAGAAAACAAACAAATGTTTTTATACTTTTCTAGTCATTTCACATGACCAATAGTTCAATACTCATACACATATACAAAAGTTAATATTCAATATGGGAAACGGGAAGAACAATATGGGAAAGGGGAAGAAGAAGCAAAATAAGGCAGAGGCAGAGCCTTCTTCGGCCGAGCCTTCTTCCGTTATTCGTCTGAACCTTCTTTGTCCTCCAAAAAAAGAGCTCCACGCGCAACAGCACACTGAACTTACAGTGTACAAATACACCAAATGTCCAAGGACAGAAGCCCTGAACACATCGACAGCTTGAAATTGTATAAAAAAAGTACTCGTGTGATGTGGGTAAGTTTTTATTTTTATTTTTATAACTTTATCTGCTTACTGATTAAACTTGAATCAGAACAAATACATACACATTCTGATTTCAGGAACATCGTCAAGTTGGTTGACCAAATTAAACCTAATATCTCTTCCTAAAAACTCCCCATTCATGCAGAAGGCAGGTAATCTTTCTTGATGTGCATAGGAGGGAGGCATATATGCCATCTGCTGCTGATGCTGTTGATGTTTCATTTGGACTGCTTGTTTGATGATCTGGTGTGGCACTTGTTCTTATGAGCACTGCAGCTGATACGTGCTGCAGGATCTGATATAGGTTGGCTTTCTAGGGGTATAACGGGAAGGTTGTCACAGTTACAGATCTCAATCATTGTGCCATCTGGGTCATGGAAGAAAAGCTGATCAACGTTGATCCCACCCTCCTTCACCCTGCGCTTCACGTACTCGATCCGCATCTCCTTCAACTTTTTCTCCACTAAGGCCATGCTCTCACACTGCAAAGAAAAAAACAAATGCTTTTTGTTTTCTAGTTATGCCACATGATCAATAGTTCAATACACATGCACATATGGAAAACATAAGAAGGCTTGTAGTTTAAGTGGTTTAAAAAGTATGTTCTACGTTTGGATATATTGATAATCACATGATCAACCGTCTAACTACACTAATTAGAGATTGATCATGTGATTTTCAACATAATATCATCAGCGATATCGGTCTTAAAGAGAAAAGGAAAACGAAAGATGAGAACATATGTACAAAAAGGAGCTAGAGAGAGACCTGGAAAGAAATGTGGTTATCTTTGGGATTAATCTGGCTGATCTTGGGAATTTTATCAGGGTCTTCAGATTGGAGAAGATGGATGCCAATGCCATAATTGAATAGCCTATATATGATTAAAATTAACCAAAATTAACACAAAATAATATATCCACTATAGTCTCAAAATCATAGTAGAGAGTTCACAATATATTATTTTTTGTTGAAATGGACACTTTATTCGAAAAGTAGGTAGCATAAGATTTATAAACGACAGTCAAAATGGTCCATGCATTCACAACCCAAACGTGACTACCAGGAAACAAAAGCGGAATCCTAACTACAACGAAATCAACAAATTGAAGGGTTCTTGTTGGTTTTACAAGTTTATACGGATTATATATGATCTTGAATAATGAAAATTAATAACAGTGGTAATACATATACAATGCACCAGTGAAATCTAACGAGCCAGGCCTCCTGATTGGGAAGAACCCTAGATCATTCTGGTAGAAATCAAGGGATTTCTCAACTGATCTGCAAGCTATCGAGATGTGATTCAAGGACTTCAAATGCAGCGGATTTCCCATGCTCTCTTTCATATGATCCAAATGATATGATATTTGAAAATTATTTGGTTAGAACTATATATATTTAATAAAAAGATAGGGACAAGAGGCATGGAATAAGCAAATATATAGAAAACTGGATTGAAGGCTAGAAATTAGGGTTTAAATAAATAGAGTTGGGAGGAGAGAAATGGAAGGTGTGCTGCTGCTGCATTTCGTAATGGCTTTTGATTTTAGGTTTCTGATGATTTTTCCAGATAGGTGATGACCGGCCATTACACGTAGGTTCCACGTTGATGACTCATATCAAGATTGGTATTACTCTTTTTTTTTTCAACACGTAAGGGCTTTTCTGACAACCTAGCTAAACTAGCTAATTAATTGGTGAACTTTTATTTATCTCTGTTTTATGGACCCACCAAGTACTCATCATCAACTTATCCGGACCATTCAAATTTGATTCAACGGCTATAAATAGTGACTCATTTTAAAAGTTATAATAATTTTAATTGTTGGATCAAATTTCAACGAACCGAATAAATTGATGAGGTGGACTTGATGATAGAAGGGATCCGCCTATTTTATAACCATCTCTTTATTTTGCATGTAACTTTACACAAAATTTGAATGGACAAGTTGCATGCCTTTGATCACAGGTGATGGAAAATGATCCTCTCCGGATTCCTTCCACCTGAGCCACAAATTCGAACCTTTGAAATTTGATCCAACGGCTAAAAACAGAAGACCCCATTAAAAGTTATAATAACTTTAGTCGTTTGATCAAATTTCAAGGACCCAAATTTTGTGCTCAGTTGGCGTAGGTGGAAGGGAACCGAAGAGGATCCCTTTCCACAGGTGATAATGAAAAAAGTTGGGTTACACCATAAAACCACTTGATAATATGAGGAGTAGTTCAACTACTCATAAGCACATGTAAGATCTATCCTTTAATCAATATGAAATTCATTCTTAACATGATTCCTCACGTGTGGCAATTTTTCAAGCCGAATACGTGGACAACACAAACAGGGTGACGTGGAGCTCGTTTGGCCGTTGGGCTTCTCACGTGGGACAACATGCTCTGATACCATGAAGAAAGTTGAGGTTCTACCATAAAATTAATTAGTAATATAGAGAATAGCCTAACCACTTATAACCACATGCAAGACGGGTCTATTAAGAGATTTGGGACCACCCAAAAACTTGGATAAGTGGCTTTGAGGAACTCTGAGGACCACCAAGTCAAGGCATGTAGTTGGCAAATGGCACTAAGACTTCTCAATGCCATGGACCATGGGCCTTGGCTCATGAAAGTCATGAATAGTAGTGGCCAACCTTGTGGATTTGGAAACTCACATTTTCAAGTTCAAATCAACTTCACTTTCACTTCTTAATTATGTATAGTAGTGACCAACCTTGTGGATTTGGAGACTTTCATTTTCAAGTTCCAAATCAACTTCACTTTCACTTCCCGAATTAGGCAAGGCCTCTAACACTTGTTTCAATTGGTAAACATATATCGTCGTTCAACACATATTTCCATTAGGAAGTCAAAACGATACCTGAATTTCGTTAAGAACTCTAGGAGAAACCTGTAAACCAATTTGTAATCACATAGAATAATGTGCAGTATTGCGCTTGAGAGAAAAGAAAAGTAAGACAGAAGAAGAGGATAGAGGGAGATAAATTTAGAGAGAGAAGTAAATCTTTCATATGGTATATTATGTGTGTTACAATCTCATCATCCCTAAGACTATATATTCTCTACTTATAAAAATTGATGTTTAAGTCACAATATAACTAACAACCTTGCTAATCTATTGACAAGTGTCTTATTATATCACCATTGATACTATCCTTAACATTCCCCTTCAAGCTCAGGAGGTGGAACCAAGGCTGAGATTACGACAATGAGTTTGAAAAAGTGGAGCAGATAAACCCTTGATCAAGATATCTGCATACTGCTCACTGGAAGACATAAACTGAACCTGCAACTGCTTCTTTGCAACTCTTTCTCGAACAAAATGAATATCAAATTTAATGTGTTTTGTGCGCTGATGTAAGACCAGATTTGATGTTAAAACAATAGCGGACATATTATCACAAAACAGAACTAGTGAACTGGGAATATCAAGATGCAAAACTGTCAATTATTGCTTGATCCAATCCAATTCAGCAGCAGTTGCAGCAAGAGCTCGATACTCTGCCTCAGTGGACGATCTGGACACTGTTTGTTTCTTTTCAGAAGGCCATGAAATTGGATTTGACTCAAAAAATACCACAAATCCAGTAATAGATCGTCTATCATTCGGATCTCCAGCCCAATCCACATCAGAAAATGTTCGTATAGTATCAGAATTAACCTCCAAGCCATCTCTAACATAGTGAATGCCTAAATTCAGAGTGCCTTTAAGGTATCTCAGTATCCGCTTGATTGCACTGAAGTGAGAATTCATGGGGTGCTGCATAAATTGGCATACCTAATGCATTGCAAACACTATATTTGGCTTGGTAAATGTTATGTACTGTAAAGCACCAACCACACTGTTGTAGAGAGCAAGATTGTTGTATGGTTTGCCATCATCAAGAACTAACCTATTATAAGGCAGACAAGGTGTTGAACAAGGCTTGGAATCTAACATTTTTGTCTTGGTAAGGAGATCCTTAACATACTTTTCTTGAGAAAGAACCATACCATCATTATGAGAGATAATCTGAATTCCCAAGAAAAAATGAAGAGAACCCAAATCTTTTATGTCAAATTCCTTTGTTAAGGCAGAAATCACATCATGAATCAAATTTAGGGCATTACCAGTAATGATAATGGCATCCACATAGAGAAGTAATATCACTACAGATGAATCAATCTTTTTCACAAATAAAGATGAATCTGCATAAGTCGTAGTGAATCCAAGTGAAGGCAAAAAACTTGTGAACTTGTCATTCCAGGTCTAGGAGCCTGTTTTAAGCCATATAAGGATTTGTGAAGTTTGTAGACATATTCAGGGTGTTGAGGATCAATGAAACCTGGATGTTGTGACATATATACCTTTTCCTGCAATACCCCATACATAAATGCATTCTTAACATCAAGTTGTCTTAAATTCCACAAAAAATGAGCAGTTATGGCCAATACAAGTCTCACAGTTTTTGGTTTAACAACTGGACTGAATGTTTCCCCATAATCGATGCCTTCATCTTGATTGAAACATTTTGCCACCAGTCAAGCCTTATATCTCCCTATAGAACCATCAACATTCTTTTTAATTTTAAAAACCCATTTGCACCTAACAAGGTTTTTCTATGCTGGAAGAGGGACTAAACTCCATGTAGACTGAGTATGTAGAGCAGACAACTATTCTATCATTGCATTAACCCATACTTGACACTTTAAGGCAGACTTATATGTTGCAGGTTCAACTGTAGATAAATCCACTGCCCCATTCTTATGAACTGTAGTAAGTAATGCTATCTTTTTGGAAATACCACTATTTGACCTGGTTTGCATTGGATGCAAATTCAATGGAGGAATAGAGAGAACAACTTGAAGTCTCTCAAGTTGAAACTCAGAAACCACAGGGTTCGGAATTTGGACCACGAGATTCTCAGAGTGGACCTCAGAAGCCACAGGGATATATGGGGATGAATACTGTTCATTTGAAGTCATGGATGATGGAGAAGGTAATAAGTGAGAACCATCAGATAATGGGGATAATGGTGATGTAGGATTGAATGACTGAGAATGCTGTGAAACTGGAGAAGTTGGTGAAACTAACACATTATCAAGATTAGGCATTGATGGTTGTGGGAGAGGTGGTTGATGGTGAGATAGGATTGGTTGTGAGGTCACATGTGATGTATGGAGACTAGGGGAATGTGATGATGCAAAAACTGGATAGGGAAATTCAGATTCATCAAACAACACATGCCTAGAAACATAAACTTTCTTTTTGGTGACTTCATAACACAAATAGCCTTTGTACTTTGATGCATATCCCAAAAAAATGCACTTTGTCGTCCTAGGTTGTAACTTTGTGGTGTTTAAGGGTCTTAAAAATGGATAACAAGAACAACCAAAGACTTTGAGGTGACTGACATCAGGGACAAAACCATAAAGAATTGCAAATTGGGACTTCTGATTTAGTGTTTGTGATGGCATTCTATTAACAAGATACACTGATGCTTGACAGGCAAACGACCAAAATGTTGCAGGTAAGTGAGATGTTTGAAGAAGGGTAATTGTGGTTTCAATAATATGACGATGTTTCCTTTCAACCAAACCATTCTATTTGGTGTATAAGGACAAGACAACTGGTGACTTATACCTTTATAAGCAAGAAAGGTTTGTAACTTTTTCCCTATATATTCACCATCTCCATCACTTTGAAGTGTTTTGATTGAAACTGAGAATTGATTAAGTATAAATTGATAGAATGTAATAAATATGGCACAAACATCAGTTTTATTGATAATCGGAAAAATCCAATAGAATCGAGTACATTGGTCTATGAAGGTAACATAGTACTTAAAGTCTTATAGAGATAGACACGGAGTATGACCCCATACATCACTGTGAACAACATCAAAGGGATTAACAGACTTATGTGGAACTGAATGAAATGGTAGTTTGTTAATCTTCCCCTCTATACAATTTGAACAAAGCATAGGTGTAGAATCAACAATATTAGGGATATTTGATTTCTTAAGCATAAGAGAAGCAACATTGTTTGATGGATGACCTAATCTATGGTGCCATAGGCTAGAGGTTACTTGTTTGCCAATGTAAGCAGCCATTAGATAAGCTTTTTGTATATGAGATGAAGATGGTGTGAAGGGAATGAGATACAATCCATTATTGCAGAGACCTTTGAACAATATTCTCCCTGTGGCTTTATCCTGAATCCAAAAACACCAAGCATCAAAGATCAGCCAACAATTATTGTGAAGACAGATTCTATGCACAGAGAGTAAATTCTGAGATATTCTAGGTACATATATAACCGAATTTAACTTCAAATTATAAAATGGAGTCTGCAATATGGAAGATCCTCTATGGGATACTTTCAAACCTTCACCACTTGCAAATCATCTCTGTTGAAGGAAAAGGAGTTGCCAATGACATATTATTCAAATATGTAGTCATATGATTTGTTGCACCCGAATTTGTAAGCCATTCTTGCTATAAAAGATTGGATTCCAGTGGTGGACAGAAGCATTGACATGCATAGCATTCATGGATCCAAAAGTGAAGGTTAAGTTTGCATTCCCAAAGTGATAGAATTTTTCACTGTGATTATTCTTTCCATAGATTTGACACCCATAAACCATTGCAGAATTAGTATTTTGAAACCTACAAGTGTGAGCAAGATGACCATATTTGACATGAATTGCCAGAATTAGACAACTGTTGTTGTGGTGAATTTCCAAGAATCCCATGAGCTTGATTTGGGTAAAAGGGCTTGTTGGTCCTAAATTTAGAACCATATTGAAACTTCCTTTTGCCTTTATTCTTGTTGTAAGAAGGTCGATATTGAGATCCAGCAGTTTGATTGTTGTAAAGCGGCTGTTGACCAAATGTTCCCTTAAAATTTGTCTGAGACCCAATATTATCAACATCCATTGCAGTAAGAAAAGGGGTTGCAAGGGCATTGTCAAGCATTGCTTCTTTAGCAAGCAATTGAGATCTCATATCTTTAATTGAAATAACATGTTCCTTGCCTCTAATGATTGATCTAATGGTGTTATACTTAGATGATACGCCATTATGAGTAAGAATAACTATATCATCATCATCAAATTTAATCCCAGCTGCAGAAAGATAATCCCTAGCTTCCTTAATTCTTTGAAAATACAGAGAAATATAATCATTACCCTTTTTGATATTCTGCAATTCTAACTTCATTTGGAAGATACTTGTTCTTGTAACAATCAAGAATTGTTCCTTGAGTCTTGTCCAGAGATCCTGAGCACTAGTGCTTCCTATTGCACAAGAAACAACAGATGGTGAAAAAGTGGCAGTGACCAACTGCATTAGAGCACAATTATGCATCTTCCAAATCTTGTAGTCATCAGATTCTGTTTGAGAAGTAGTTCCTTGAGAATCTACCTCAAACCCATTGAAGGTAGCCCTTGTAGATCGAATAAGACAAGGGGTAGAGCCATCCACAAAACCCAAAATACCATGCCCTTCGAGAAGAAGTTGCATCTGAAAATGCCAAACCAAGTAGTTTGTCTCATCAAGCTTTACTGTCACGGACGTTGAAATTGTGGAGATGAGAGAAGTAATTGGAGACTGGAGAATCTGTAATTGGGAAGCAGTAATCATTGGTGCAAGAAATCAGAAAACTTGTTCAAAAACGATGATTGAGGAGTTGTATCGAACACTTGGTGTGCACAGAAGACGAACGCCAAGAAGAGTGATATGTAGAAGATGATGAGCTCCAAAAAAATATACAGAGCACCCAAAGATCAAAAACAACAAAGAAATAAAAAATGGTGAGAGGAAGCAGTCCACGATCAAAGATTTTCAACCGAGGGATTAGCTATTCCGATGTACCATGTAAACCAAGCTATAATCACATAGAAGAATGTGCAGTATTATGCTTAAGAGAGAAGAGAAGTAAGACAAAAGAAGAGCAGAGAGAGAGAAATTTAGAGAGAGAAGTAAATCTTTCATATGGTATATTATGTGTGTTACAATCTCATCATCGCTAAGACTATATATTCTCTATTTATAAAACTTGTTGTCTAAGTCACAATATAACTAACTCTAACAACCTTGCTAATCTATTGACAAGTGTCTTATTATATCACCATTGATACTATCCTTAACAAAACCGAGCATTTGAAACTTGTATAGGAAAAAGTTTGATCAACAAACTGAATTTCGTAGTAACTAGCAGGACTGCCCGCGCTTTGTTGCGGGTTTTCAAACTATAATTGACAACCTACATGAATAATATCCATAGAAAAATTAACTGAAATTGATGTAGCAAATACAATCGCTAAATGTAGCAATTTAGACAACGCATGTTTTACCTAAGTAATGCTCACAAAACCACAAACAATCCCAAAAAAAAAATACTAACATAGAATCAATTCAAGTATATTAGGAGCATGTTTGCACTCAATAGAGGGGAACCAGTCCAAAGGAATCTATAGCTCTTATAACTTTATTGTTTGGCCTAAAGAGAATTTGTGGGCAATAACCCTAAAAGCTGCCCAACAAAAAATAAAACAAAATTCATAAATTATCAAAATAAAATTAAGCAACAAATTGCAAATAAAAAGCACACAGTTCATAAACAATCAAAATTAAAAGCAGGAAAGAGTGAGAGTAGTGTACCAGGTCGATGTCTGACTCATCATGGAGAGCTTCAATCACTGATTCTGGCAACTCAGCTAAAACAACTTTGAGAGAAAAATAGGCATTATCGCAACTATCTTGAGAAGTGAATTTCACATCAACAATTGAAATTTCAAAACCCACCACAGAAGCAACATATGAAAACAACGAAAAAGAAATTTAGTCAAAGTTATTTTTTGATCATTAGTATCCTAACAAAAGCAATCTTCAACTTCAACATTCAAAATAAAAATGTACATAGTTTATATTAATCACTCAAATTGATGTATACATTTTGTACCACTAAAGCACTACTGACTAACCTTTTCGAGGTCTTTATTAGACCTGACATTTTGGACCTGCCCCGTTAACCCGACTCGACTCGACCCGACCCATTAATATTAGTATTTGGATGGATGCTTAACGGTTCGGGTCGCTAACGGGTCACTTTGGGTCAACCCGCTAGACCTGTTAGCACCCGTTAGTTGAGGATATTTTAGTAAATTCAGTAAAGTCTTAACAACAAAAAATAAACTCTATGCAAAAAAAAAAAAAATTGTTAACGGGTGAAACGGATGACCCGTTAGCTTAACGGGTCGGATTGAACCCGACCCAAACTCGATAAACCCGACCCGTTTACAGTTCTAGTCCTTATTAACAATTGAAAGCTCTTGGACGCATAAAACTTAAAAATGCAAAAAAGTAAATTGCTTCAAAATATATATATATATACACACACAACCCATTTGCATCTTGCCAAAACTATCGGACTCGTACTTAAAAATTTTCGACATTGTATTGCCAGGAGGACCCAATTGGCTTGATTAAAAAGCGCTGGTTTCCCAAAACCTTTGAATTGTTAAGAGTCCAAATTCCAGAAAACAAATGCTAATCAATAGCCAATTAATACTGGGTAATCATTGAAATTAAAGTCCAGAATTTACTAATGTCAAATTTACAACCAAAAGAGCAATCAATTTACTGAACTCCAAAGAAATATCTTCACATAAAAGTATTTATTTTCACAAAATAAATGAAACTATATCAAATGTCTTGATATAAACTAAGAACTCAAAAGCTTAAGCAAAACCCACTCTCAACAATCAAAATTAACAACACAATAAGCTCTGCAACTTAAAATGTTTAATTAAATTTTCCAACTTAAAACCCTAAATTAAATCCTACAAATTGAAATAGCAGAAACAGAATAAGAGAGGAGAAGGAAGAAATCACTGACCTTCGAGTTGTTAGAAGCTCTGATGGGTGTTTCTTTTCATCCAGCCCTAAAAACCAGAACCCACAATTGTAATATAATATCCAATCCTATCAAGAATCAAATTAACCCAACCTTGTGTATAGAAGAATTGAACAAATTTAGACATTAATATGTATGTATATTCCAGTAAAAAAGATTGAAATGCATTGAACCCTAAATTGCAAAACTACTTTAGACTGATTGAAGAAGAGAAACAGAGAGGGAGAGGGAGTGGGACGGAGAGAAAACCCTAAAAACAGAACCATTTCGCAACCTAATACAAAATCAAGCCAACAAATTCCATTTCAATTTTGACAAAACAAATCGAAAAGAATAATGAAAATCCACCTATATGTCAAAACCCTATACTTAATTTTCATAAAAAAAATCCAAATAGAAAATCAAGACAAATAATTGGATTAATTGACAGTGACACTAATCCAAGTCAATTAAATAGCCAAGGTCAAAAATCCATATCCAAATACACTTGTTTCCCACGGTTTCTGCACCCAATAAAAAAATAAATAAATCAGACTACTACCAAATTTGGACAAATGTATTGCATCTTGCATTCTGATTCAAAAAATCAACTTTGAAGAAAATAACCCATTAAAAATTAAACCCAAATCAAGTAAATCCAGTAAAAAAGTCAAGTTCGCAGTACAAGTTTATATTTGTTTTCACTTACACTGATGATAAGTATAATCAAGACAGAGAAACTCATGAACCAGCTCTCAAAGATATAGAAACCTATCAAGTACTTGGACAATGAACATACCCAAAAAAAGGAATTTCTTGGACATGAAACCAACAGGTCTACAGAAAATTAAACACAATTTCAAAATAGACGGTTCATATAGAGATCTTCGATCAAATCGCAAAAAGTGAAGAAAATTCATAACAAAACGGGAAAAAAAAACATAATCTCACTTCGCATCAGTTTTTCTGTGAGCAGCAACTCTTAATTTCCCCATGTTCAACTAAACCTCCACATAAAACTGCAAAAAAAAAAAAAAAAAAAAACAGATGAGAATCATTTAGAAACGGCAAAAATTTGATATTAATAGATAAAAAAGAAGTCGGAGAAAAAATCTCTCTCTCTATTTCTGTCATCTCAAAGTCACATTCTTTATCAAATTCAACAACTGGATTTTAACAAAAAAAAAATAACTGGATAATTCACACAGAATGAAAAAAACCTACTCACATCGAGACAGAGATCTTTCGGAAGCAGCGGAAAGTAGTCCTGTGGAATATCAAAGTTGTTTTGCATAGGAAATAATACAATTGAAAAAACAAATCAAAACTTTAAATTAAATTACAACTAAATTTATTCATTTCTTAATTGAAATCCAGAAAAAAAAATGCAAAATTTAAGCTATTCGTGGCTAGAATTTCCTTCGGGGATGTCTCCTAGCCGACGAGCACACAGCTCCCCGAGAGGTCGGCGCCGGTTGATGCTTTCTGTCGGGCTTCTGCTTCACTGGCGGGCTTGTCGGGCAAGGCTGAAAGAGAAGGACCGAGTTAACTTTGAAATGTGCCTTTGTAGGGCCTTAGGTATAGGCCTTGAGGCTCACAATCAAGATTAACTTTTAAGTGCTCAGGCGTGCCACTGCCATCTTTAGCATGGCAGATGTAGAATGGATGTTGAGTTTTAGTTGTACATATACCCGAGAGGCCATGTTAGTTATGACAGGTGCCTTTGTAGGGCCTTAGGTGTAGGTCTTGAGGCTTCCGATCAAGAACTAACCCAGTACTCGAATATATGATGTATGTTTTATTGTTTACAGAAGTGTTATAACCATTATACTTCTGATTATCCGAGCCCGCAGAGCAGAATGAACCCAAATAGATGCCTTTGTAGGGCATTAGATATAGGCCTTGAGGCTTCCTATCAGAATTCCTTCTATACTCAAACGTTCTACTTCAATCATAATATAATAGAAATAAAACTAAGAGATAAATTGATTACTTGCGCCCAAAGTAACTTCGGACTTCTTGTTATCAAAGCTTGTCGTGGATGTGTTAAGTCCATATAAGGTTCTTTTTTATGCCTTGAGGCCAAGGACTTTTAAATGATCAATCTTACATGCCCGAAAGCTTAGAACTTAAATCTGGTTTGAACTGTGAAGACATATTCAAATCGGATTCAAGAACTGAGAGAATCTTTTAATCATCATCTTACTAGAAATAACTTGTATACAACTGGAAGTATATAACATATTGCTAGGCTAATGAATGAAAAGACAAAAAACAAAGAGGGTCGGGCAAGGTTGATCGTCTTGCAACTTCCTATCTTTGTGGTTTATCAAGGGGTTTGAGAGCTTTAGAAAAGGAGGTAGGGAGTTGAGTTTACAGAAAGAAATCGATACTACAGCAAGCTTTGGACAAGGTAGCAGAGCTATTACAAAGGCTTTTGGTGAGGGTTTATCCCGAAAGGGATGAAGGCTTGGGCTGATTACAGCTTCGTTTGAAGGCAAATCTGGCTTTGAGCAGAGTTTGGGCTTGTATTTGTTTGTTTGTTTGAGTGTCCTTATCTCTGATTTCTCTTTCTTCTTTTATAGACACTTCGGTTTGGCCTTCTGTAGCAATAATCTTGCCCGAATGCAGCTTGAAGGGTAATGACTCATCATCTATTTACTTGTACTACCACTGTAAAGTACTTTTGGGCTGATTAGCTGGCTAGTCTATACCACTTGGTCTCTAGGCAGGTGAGCAAGTGGTGCAAATGATCTGCACCTAGTTGGGAAAGGTCTTTTCTACCTTCTGGGCTTGGGCTGGGCTTCGGGCCTCTCTCCTCCTTTTGGGCCAACTCCTTTTTGAGCCCAAAGTTTAAGTTTTAACCCAAACAGTGCCCCCTTCAATTGATATTCAGCCTGGAATTTCAGGCGCCAATATTGATTGAAAAGTTCCCCATTAAAACCCACGTCTCTCTCTTGGGATTTGCATACCTTCTAAAGATAATCATCACTTTCCTGCGATCACTTCACTAACCCACGAATCCTCTGCATTCTTTAGCACGAAATCCCTCTGCAATTGAAAATTTCTTAACCTCCCAGACGTTTTGCTTCTCTAAATCTTTCAGATTCTCTATTGCTCTTTGCCCGATATCTTTTACCCTTGTTGTCTTCTTTGCCATTCCTCTTCCAAACCTCATCAAATGGCTTCAAGACCCAGCCAAATCCAACTATCCTATGAGTCTGGCGAAGTCATCGCCACTTTGCGCCGTCTACTCAACGGGTTTGTATTCTGAGCTTTTCTTTGAAGCGCATGGGGCACAATCGTTGGGTCCCGCATGGATTTCTAAGGTCCCGTCCGTGATAGAGAACAAAATGCCCAAGGATAACTGGTTTTCCTTAAATCCCTTTTTGGCTAAGTCTGGCATTTCTTCATCCAGGTGGTCGTCATATCGTCGAGGCTTTCCTTTGATAAAGGATCCTACTTGGGCTCAATGGATCGATGAACTAGAGCCAACTTTTAAGAAGAAATGGATGAATAATGGTATTTATGAATTGATCATGCTCTTAAAAACTACCATTATTCCCAAGCCCGAATTGCTTGCTTCTTCTCTTCTCTTCTAGAATTCGGGCACAAACACTTTTGACTTCCGTATGGGTCTCATGTCTCCGACTATTCTTGATATGGCCCAGGTCTTCGGGCTAAGGCCATCGGGCAGGATAGTGGATGTTACTCAAGATTGGGCTCCTCCCTCAATTGCTGAAAGCCCAGGGTCATCTGCCTCTTTCCCTTCTTTGGAATATAATTCTGCAACCTTCAAGAGTTACGAGACCTCCTTCAAGGGCTTCATCCTTTTTGTAAAGGAAAATTTTGGAACAGGTTCTTCTCATGTTGATAAAGATCAAGAGCACATGTATTTCCTCCTATACTGGCTCAACAAACATGTCTTCCCGAATAAGTCTAAAGGAGTGAAGGTTGAATGGATCCCCTTGGTGGAAGCTCTTCATAACTTTGATGATGTAACTACGGGTCCGTTCCTTCTTTCTCATATTTACCATCTTCTTTTTTAAATGACTCAAGGTGAGCCATTTGAGACTAACCTGAATGGGCCCATATGGATGATACAAACATGGCTTCAATGGTACTTTCCAGAGTTTCGGGCTGCCAACTTAGAATTCCCAGAAGGTGTGGCCCCTGCCCGAATCCTAGATGAAGTTGCTCCTACCGATCACTCCACCTTCGCCTGCTTTTACTTCTTCAAAGTTTGTAGGACTCGATCAGACTTGGAATGAGGCGCGTCGGTCTTGAGGAGATATCCTTGGTTTTCTGACCAAGCCTTTCAAGATGCTCCTGGGGAAGATGCCACCTCCTTTTGCAGCAAGAAATTTATTAATTGTATTCAACCGAGAGACATGGCCTGGGGAGTTCGGGGCAATTGATATGATCGAGGGTTGGAAGTGTATCACCCTAACTTTTGCAGCAAGCAGTTAGGTTTTAGGCAAGCCATTCCCATCCCGTTCTTCGACTCTGTCCATTGTGGCACTTCCTTTCGATTATCATCTCCTTCTGAGACGACCTTTCGAGCTGCCCGACGTAGTCTTGAAGTCATGGGTCAAGCTGCCCGAAAGTCCATCATCCTTAATTTTGAATGCACTTCACTCTTCTCTTCTTGGTGGGAAAATAAATGGACCAAGAAATATGAAGGAGACTTAAGAGAGACTCATGATCGCCTTTTCAGTCAACTTTCTCTCAAATCATACCTCAGTACAGGCAAACTTGAAAATTGGAAGGAGATGATCCAGGAGAAGAATCGGTTACTTCTAATAGGTATTTTTTTCTTCTTCTTATCTTGATTCTACATCCATTCTGAAGCCTCCTAAATTTTTACCTTGCTTAATCTTGCAGCCCAAGTGGATGTTGAATCAGTACCTACTGAGTCCGAGGATGACTCAGCTGATGCAGCAGTTCTTCATGGAGCTGCGGCGGAGGCTGAAAGACGAGAAGCTGGAGAAGGTAGGGATGTTTTAGAAGATTCAGAGGCTGAAGAAGAAGCATCTGAAGTCATCACCCAAGTGTCTAAGCGAAGGAAAGCAGTTGTGATTGAGACCTCAGATTCTGATCCTGCATCCCCACCCAAGACTAAACGACCAATTCCTACTAGAAAGAGTAAGAGAACAAGAACCGTCCAAACACAAGTCTTCAGCCTCATTTGCTCCAGTTTCTGAGGCAGGCAGAAAGAAGCAAAAGTCTTCAAGTGAGTCTTGTTCTTCTGGATCGCCACCCTTCCTCTTTATCTAATTACCCTTGCTTTCCTTGAAAACATGACCTTAAACATCTAAGAAACCAGCCATTGCTTCTAAGGAGGAACCATTATGAGCTAAAATGCACAAAAAGGCTGAAGAATTGCGAAATATCACCCTTAAAGAACTTGAGGTATAGTTTATGTTTATGTTTGCATAATCTTTCCTGCTTCCACAAAAACATGAGCATGATTTACTTGAATCAGGCTGCAAGAGAGGAAAAGCTCCGTCCGCCCGAGGTCTCTTTACCACTTGCCCGAGAAACAAGCCTATCTCCTCCCCGAGTTAATCCTTCAGAAGTGCATTCCCTTCTTTCTCGATCCTTGGGCAATTTTATAGTCTCTGGAGCTAATGCCTGAACCTTTCTCTTCTTCTATCTTCCTCCAGGTTGGGATATCTGCCCCTTTGCCTAGTCAAGGTTCTCCTTTGAAGTCTTTGATTTCTCCTTCTGCCCTAGAGGCAACTCCATCTTCTCAATTTGATCCATCCACCGGAGTTATGTTGCACTTTGTGGATGAGGACAGTAATTTGGTGAGTAACTATCCTTACATTGACTTTCTGTGCATTGCTTCCATATTAACTTCTTATTCACATTTCTCGCAGCCTTCTTCATTATATGAAGCACCCCAACCGTCAGTGGCAATATGTGATGAACTCATAGTCCTTGAGATTCCTATGACCTCAGGGGTAGCGGTATTGCAAGTGTTTGCTCGCCCAACGGTTACTATCGATGAACCTCTTTTTTCTCGGGGTCAAACTCAGGTATAGAGGTATTTTCTTCCTGTTTTCCTTTTTCAATCTACTTACTAATAATTGTTGCTATCCCTGGATACTTCTAGGGCATTGGTGAAGGTTCATGAGCAGCTCTTTTCTTCCCCTGTCAGTGGTAAAGAGTCGTTCCCTCAACCAGGAATTGGTACTCTTCCTTATGAAGCCTCAGGGCTCAGTCAGGTATATTTCTTCTTCCCAAGGCTCCCCTTTGCTTCAAACTGTATTTTTGTCTTAATCTG